TTTTTCCATAACTATTTACCATTTAGGGTGCCGAATTATTGCATTTCTAGTAAATTACATTGTACCAAAAAAGATAAAGTAAATTGATGAGTTAGTGAAGTCAGTCTTGTGTTTGGTAAATTTTTCCAATTTTTAGGTTGACTATTTAAGAGATTTCAATTATGTACTGAATTTTACAAGTATATATACACATAGTGCAATACCATACTGAATTTAGTTATTTGTTTTTTACATGTCTAGTGTATATGAGGATTTAATTAAATGTTTAGTAGATATTTTTATGTAGGTGAGTTTTTTTTTTAACATCTTAGTATAATATTTTCCTTTCTTACATTCTTCCTCATTGGATCACCAAGCAAAGTTATCTTTTTAAGTACGCTTGTTCTAATAAGTATATGATTAAAATGTATGAATTTGGAGGTCTTAAAAACTGGGAAGAGACTGTTAATAATCTAAGTAATTCAGAAGTTATCACTTTCTGCTAGAAGTAAGAGATTTTGAATTTGAGTCGCATAACATGTGGGTAAAGTGAAATTAAGGATGAGAAATAATTGCTTTTCATTGTGCAACTAAAATTTTTTTTTAAAAAAAAGGGAGGAGATTACTAACCTTATCATAGCCTATGTAGTCCATTATTAAAAAATACCAAAGAAGTCTGGAAATTTTAATTTGGAATATGGAAGAAGAAAAGTAGTGGGTTTAATTGTTTAAAAAATAAATGTAATGCTAAAGGTAAAAAAACAATGGTAATGTATAATTATAATATTATATTGAATTATAAATTTATAATTATAATATAATATTAAATAAAAATAATATAATGTCAAATAAATAAATATATAATATTATAAATAAATTTATAAATAAAAATAATTAATTATATAATAGCATATTATATTATAAATTTATAATATTATATAATATTATAATTATAATATTTAAAAAAATAATTGTCTTATCTATCAATACAACCAAAACAAATAAATGTAAAAATTAAGTCAATATAACTTTAATTTTTAATTTTTTTAAAACAGTTACAACTTTAAAGAGGTGAATTTAAAACTCAATTTTTAAATTAAAATATATTTACAATATTACTTGTAACCATACGTCATAAAAAAAGGTGAGGTGCAAAGTCAATGTGACTTTATGAATTCATGAATCATGGCATAACTAATCAGTGCAAATAAATACGGAAATAAACTCAATGGTCAACAGCCACACCCAATTAAACGGAAGCATAGGGGTGTAATTAATTAGGCTAATTAATGCCGACTGACCTGGTATATTTTTTTTTGTGATGATATAAGAATAACTTTTTTATCTCACATTTTTTACATGTAATTAAATAAATAGATACATTTAATATTATAAATTTTACATAAATTAAAAAAAATTAATCAATTAAATAACACATCAAATTATAAAAAAAATAAAATAAAAAAATTATACAAAAATTATTTTTCATTTTTTTAATTGCCTCGCAACCGCATCTTAAACTGGGCCACCTATGCAGACTAGTACTTTATCAGTTTATCCATCCAGTTCTACATGGCCCCCACCTGTTACCTCTTAACTACCAGGACCACGCGCGGCATCTCACGAGACGAAGTCACGGGTGAACTAACAAGGCAACAAACGGTTTGGACTTTCGGAGTGAGGTCCATTTTCGGAAACACGGAACACTTGTCGGTTGTGTGATAAGTACGTTGAAACGAGGGGCGTGGGGTTTGTACACCGGGTATTAATTTGAGCAGGTGTACCGAAATAAACGGTAACCGGTCAAGTGATGTTCTGGACTTTTGTCCGCTTCGGTTTAAACGTCAATTAAGTGTTCCTGCTCCCGACGCCGACGCATCTTGTTATTCGTGCGGGTGGGTTCACTGTCGGGTCGGGTGAAGTTACTACCGGTCGTATCCGTTATGGTTCATTGACTTCTCTTGGAAAAAAAAAAAAAAGGCCTAATTCTATATTTTTTAAAATTCAAATTCAGTTGTTCATCGTTACTTAGAGTATATTTGATTCAGTTTTTAAATATTTTAATTTTTTGATATTATTTATATGTTATAAATTTAAATTTTTTTAAAAATTTTACATTTTTAATTTTTTTTAATTTAAAAAAAATCTTAAATAATAAAAATTTAAAAATTTCAAACTTTTACTTTTTATAAATTTTTTTACTCATTTTTTTTTATCTATAAAAACAACTTTTAAATTTTTCTTTCAATAAAAATTTAAATTTATCATTTATAAAAAATATAAAAAAATAAAAGTTCTTGCAAACTAACTCAAATATGCTTTTATTGTCTTAGTTTAAATTGAGGAAGTTGAAGGGAAAGAAAAGGAAAAGAATAAAAAGAAGAGAGAGATATATATATATATTTTTTTATGTTCAGATGAAAGATTTTAACGGAGGAGGAGGAAGATAGAAAGAAATGTAAAGTCCTTCATTTATCTGTTTTTAAATCCTTTAAATCAAACTTGTTTAATTTTTCATTCCTTTAAATCAGTGAAGTTTAGAAAGATTAGTTTTATGTATTTATTTTTAAAAATATTTTTAATAAAATATATAAATATATTTTATATTAATTATTTTTAATTAGTGGTTTTTAAATATTTTATTTTATTTTACTTTTTAAAAAATTATTTAATTAAATAAAAATATTATCTTTTCCTCTTTTTTATTTTTATCTATTCAAATAAAATTAATATCAATTATTTCTTTCCCTTCACTTCACTTCTCTTTCTTTTCCTTCGCTTCTTCTCCATTTTCTCCCCTTTACTAATTTTTATCCAAATAAACACATAATTTAATATACACCATTAAAACACATGTTAAAAAATTTTACAATACTTTTATACAAATTAATTTGGTTTAGAGTTTATTATATTAGGTGAAAACCCTCATGTCCAAAAAAATAGAAAAAACATAGAGTTTTAAATGCGATTTTTTGATAAATTAAATAATTAATTACTTAACATAAGAAGTTTACATTTTTTTACGTTGACCACACATCAAAGTTTTCAAATCAATAAACATCAATTCCATCAAACTTCTATTAATCTTAAATGTGATATAAACATCAATTCCATCAAACTTCTATTAATCTTAAATGTGATATAATATGAGTTATTATTCTATTTATTATCAATTAATTAATTTTATGTTAAAATTTCATGTTGTGCGGACTTCGGAGGCCCATCATCATGTAGATAAGTTTCTCAATCCTGTCCTCAATGTAAATCATGGATCAATTTTTCCTTAACCTTTACTTTTAACATTTGAACACAAGGCATATTTTTCGTATAGATCAAGTGATTTATTATTTGCTTGTTAGTGAGAACACTTTCTGGATTGAAAGTTTGAATTCTCATTAATCCATTTCCCATTCCCCATTAGTAGAAAAGGTTTAATTGTAATTTGCTAAATATATACATATATATATATATATATATATGAACACAAGGCTACCATTGAGGTCTCTTCTTAGGTTTGAGTACATGTCCAAAACATATTGTAAAATGTCATTTGCAATTTATAAATAACTTAATTCTATGAAGTTTACGGATTGAGTTTATTAATAAATAAATATTATTTTATAAATTAGATTTTAAACATAAATTTAAAGACTAACCCATTAAAAGATTAATTTTATGAAATAAACTTGATTAATATAGATACACCACTTAAATTATTCAAGAGAAAATTAGTTTTCAAACGGACAAACATTAACCATAAGAGACACTAACAGTTAATAATAATAATAATAACCATCTTTGCATGAACTCCTAAAATTAACAAAATGTGAATTAAACTTTTAGATTCAATCGTTTGCTCTCAACTTTTAAAATTTTTGAATTTATTAATTAAGTTTCAACTTCAATTAATGCCTTGAAAAATTTCTTCACCCTCAAATTGTAGACCGTTTAAAAAATAATAATAAAATGCACAAATTTTATCCAACTTTGCCAAAATCATGCTTTGAAAATTTTCTCCATCCTCAAATTGTAGACCTTTCAAAAAATAATAATAAAATGCATAAATTTTATCCAACTTTGCCAAAATCAACAATTTAGTCACACAACTCAAAACTCTGACAAAATGCCACCAACTTTCTAGTTCAGGAAGAGATTTTTAATCAATAGAAATGATCTCGAATGGGTTGATGCTTCTTGATCGTGGAAAATCGAAGGCGAGCTCTTCTCTTCTATGCTGCGTTTCACAACAAAATTTCTGCGCAGAACTTCCCCCAAGTCCTCCGAGATCTTACAGCCGCCGCCGATTCCCCTTCTCTTTCAGAACTCTTTCGGGAAACACAAACAGGAATGACTTCCTCTGGTTCGCTATGTCTCGGGTCTCGTATCGAGTCCGAGCTTATCGTTATGGAGGCGGAAGAAAGAGATGACCAAAGAGGGATTGATTGCAGCCAAGGAGCTGAAGCGGTTCCGCTCCGATCCTGTCCGCCTTGATCGTTTCATCCGGTCCAATGTTTCCCGGTTCCTGAAATCCGATCTCCTTGCTGTTCTCGCAGAGGTCCAGAGGCAGCACCAGGTTTTCCTTTGAATGAAGGTAGGATTCTTTTTACCAATCTGACTTTCTTGATAGCGTAATTGACCATCAGAACAGTTCATGTGAAAAAATTGGAAGCATTTCTTATTGGGACATGACTTTATGCATGCTTAGTAGAAATGTGTAAGCTTTTCAGTTGAAATTTCTTTAGTATCATTTGTTTCTACTGTTTAGCTGTTGACAAAAATGCATACAAAGCCAACAGGAAAGAAAATTAAGAAAACTTTTGATGCTTAGCGTCTAATCAGAAGAAATTAAGGACAGTTGTTTGGTTTCAGTATAGATTTTTTTTGGTACTAATCTCCCAGTTTTCGGTAACCAAATTGAGTATCGACTAATTTGGAATTGAGCCGTGTCGGACTCCATTGTGGGAAGCTCTCCCAATGCCTGTTTCTCCATTAACAATACTCAACCTTGAAACCTTGAGGGAAACTGAGTTCCTTCCACTTAGACTAACAGATCGTTGGTAGTTCATTGGTGGTTCGGTATAGAATTAAGTAGCTAAATTAACTCCTTAGGATTCAGATATAGAGTAACAGATGGAAGTTTTGAGCGAATTTGAATAATTTGACCAGATTAGAAGGAAATTGTTTTTTTTTTTTTTTTTTTTTTTTTTTTTTTTTGTGGCTGTTAATAATATGTTTCTTCCGAGGGGGGAATGGAGGGAAGGATTTTTTTGACTAATCAAATTGTAATATTTAAACATTATAATATGATTAATCAAAAAAATCTTCCCCCTTTCATTCCCCTCAAACCAAATATGTTATAAACCTGGGTTAAGACTATATTAAAAATATGCTGAGAGCATTTGAAGTTCATTTTCTTACATTTTCTGATTAGGATTCATATTTGCAACTCACGTTTGAGGTTATTTGGTTTGGTTGTATTGCTCATCTTCCCCTGCCTCAAAATTGGCAATGGGATAAGGCTCTATCCCCTTCGTTAGGCAGCCTGTCTCCAGTTTTCTGTGTGTTGTTTATAATGTTATCTTATCTCTAAAGATGGTCGGAATGCTTCCTCCATTTATAGTTTGAAAATTGGTGTTTGTTTCTTAATACTTTTAGAAAAATTAGGAAAATGTGTACAATGTACTTTGTAAGTGTTCTCAAAGAATCTTATAATTCTTTTACAATATAGGTAGTAAAAACGTATGGAAAAAGAGAGCAAAAATAAAGTTGTAGTTGAATTTCTGTATAGGACAACATTTCAAAGCTTTGCAGAAGATAGTTTATTAGAAAGATGGACTGGATTTTTGCCTTTCCAGACCGGTAACATTTCATTGTCTTTCTGCTTTCTCGTGTGTTGACTCTCATACAATACAATATTTGTGAATGATAATGAAGGGAGAGGTGACTTTTGATGGCCTGTGGTTGTTGACTTATTGGCTTTGAAGAGTGCAGTCTAGTTCAAGGGAAGGGTGACTCGGAGCATAATTATAGTCAAACTTGGATGCAATTTAAAAACTCAACAGAAAATGTGATAAAATATCTCTTGGAGTCAGCTGGACGCAGAACCTGAAATGTATAGAGATTCTGAAGAAGAGAAAGTTTGTTTAGCTTGAAAACAAGTGTGAAAACTAATGAACGAGGGAGTGAAACTCAAAGAATGGTGAGAAAGGTTGGCAAGTTTAGGAGTCCCAAACTCAGTGTTCTAGGAAAAGAATCATAGTATGTAGTAATTAGCAATAGTTATCTATCATGGCTCTCTTGATTCACTTCATGTGGTTGCTCACAGAATCATATGCTAATTTGTTGGACAAAAATGGCAATTGAGGAAAATATGACCTGCAGTTATAATTGGTTTCTAAGTCATAGACATGAAGACTTGAGGTGTAATAGATTTTGGTGATCTCATGAAACTTATTCATTGATTACTTAAATTTCTAAATCTAATGCTGGCTTTTGTTTATCAGTTATATGATGTGGTGCGCAAGGAAATATGGTACGGGCCAGACATGTATGTTTACCGGGACATGTTCATGATGCTTGCTAGAAACAGAAAGGTAGGTGAACCGAAGCTGGTTTGGCAAGATATGAAGAAAGAGGAAGTTTTGTTTGATCAACATACCTTTGGAGACCTTGTTCGAGCCTTCCTAGACAGCGGGCTGCCCTCACAGGCAATGGAGATATATGATGAAATGAGACAATCACCAGATCCCCCATTAGCCCTGCCTTTTCGTGTCATCTTGAAAGGGCTCCTCTCTTATCCAGAATTAAGAGAGACGGTCAAAGACGATTTCTTGGAGCATTTCCCTGACATGATCGTGTGTGACCCACCAGAAGACTTGTTTGGAGACAGTGAGGATGTAATAGAACTTCCTGCTAATGCAATATTCTATGCATTTGTTCAATATCTAAGCGTAAAGTAAATTAGCAGTCGCCATCTTATTACGTGTTCTGCCTTTAGAAAGCCAGGCCCACGGCGGCTAGAGAGTCCTGAACGGTGACTGTAGGCGGCGGCGCTGACATTAACTTTCCGAGTCCGACCACAATGCTTCTGTAACCCATGAACTACTACGGATTGTTCACCTACCGTTAAAGAGAATTAATCTTCGGCTTAAACTAAAAGTCATGGAACAGAACATTATCATTAATTAATGATAATCACAGACGAATTTTCTGATAAAAAAACTGTTTACAGATCATTACCAGTTTATTAATTATTGCTAGGGATGAATCTTCAGAGATAGATAAGCAACAAACACTGTACTATCAGTGTATAAAAAAAGGGGGAAAATGAAAAAGAAAAAAAACAAGAAAAGTACAATTTGACAACGATTCATCATATATGGTAGGACTACCCAACATTTATTTCTTCAAAATCAAACACTGCATTCCCTGCAATTCTCTCCCGAGGACCAAGACCTCTGCCTCTCTGCCTAATTCTTTTCATCTCTTTCTTCTTCCAAAATTTGACGACATGACTTCGTGTTACCGCCGGTTAGCAGCTGCTTCCGCAGCACCGGAAGCTCCATTTCAGCTCCGTAAACTGAGACCGGCGGTTGAGATTTCGTCGCTTCATTGGTTCAAGGCAAATCAACGGCCAGAAATACTTCTGCGGTCAACAGCAACACCGAGAGTACCAGTGGTGAAAGCGGTAGGTGAATCGGAGGGCGGAGATGTGAGGAAGAATGCGGGAGCGTGCTCCTACTCACTCGAGGATGGCAGTGTGGTTGACCGGACAGTGGAGGAGATGGATAGCAGTAAGAGAAAGAGAAATCAGACGGTGGAAGTGGCAATTGCAGCGGCGGCTACGGTGGTGCTGGGCGTGGGGAATCGCGTGTTGTATAAATTGGCTCTTGTTCCTCTCAAGCATTATCCCTTCTTCCTTGCTCAGCTTGCTACATTCGGGTAATAATCTTCCTCACCATTTTAGCTCTTAATTTTTCTCCCTGTTTTTAGAATTCCCAGATGCATGCTTCTACCAATTCCAAAAAATGCTATGGAAAATAACAGTCTCTATTCACTCATTTCTGCCTTTAGTTAACTGTCTACTTTTATTTTCATAAAACCAAAAAAAAAAAAAAAAAAAAAAAAAATTTTTATCCTTCATTTTTTAAGATATTGCTGTGAAACACACCCGTTTGTTTTATTTATTTATTTATATTGTCTTAATGTAGCTTTTGATTATTGGAATTTATAATTATTAATGAGAATAGGTGGGAAAAGAGAAAGGAAAAAAGGTGGGACTTTGTTTATAGAAAGCTTGTACTTGCCCTCCTCTGCTTTATAGCATTTGTGGTTTGAAATAATTAGTGGGATATTCTCTTAAAGTAATGATGATGGAATTTTTTTCTAATACAGTAATGGAGTAATCCATGTTATGTCTAAAGTTTAAAGCATTAGGGACCTAAAATGGCTTGTAGTTGTGCTTGCTGTTGGTTTCCTTTCTAAAAATGAAAGTGAAAAAGTGGAAGAAAAGGTTGGTGGGTTCAAATTGAATGGAATCAAAGGACGGAAAGAGAAAAAAGGGGGTTATTAAGAAAAAGTAGCATCACCACTACATTTGGATCTTTTCGGAATCCAACTTGCTTTTTTGTCTTGTTACTTTCATAATCTGCATGACTTGCCACATTACCTTGTGGTCCGGTAATGGGCTTTTCCTTCCGCTATGTCACACTCATCTAATTCTTACTTAGGTATTTTCTTTTGTTGTTATTATTCATTTGCTGAATGAATTAAACATATTTTGCAGGTACGTAGTTGTATACTTTTCCATATTGTATCTCCGATTCCATGCTGGCATTGTTACAGATGAGATGCTGTCCTTGCCAAAGGCTCCATTTCTTGCTGTTGGTCTTTTGGAGGCTCTTGCTGCTGCAACTGGGATGGCTGCTGGAGGTAATGTATATGAATATCATGCGTATAGGAACATTGACATCTGTGACTGCCATATGTAAGGAGCACTTGTATATTTCAAATGATTTCTTATCTACTTTATTGAAAAAAACAAACTCCTATGGAATTGGAGATTCATGTCATTCACATGCCCTGAATGGATCTCTTTGTTGTGGGTATGTTTAACAGCTGGTTTGTTTATTACATTAATGAGTGCCCAAATATTTTGAGGTTCTCTTTCTGGTTGACTGGTTTCTTCATGCAAGAGTAAATTGCTGGTACTTATGAGCATACAATAGACTTTACATTTGTTATAAATTTTATTTTCCCTACTTTTTATTGGATTCTGATTCATGTCTCTCAATCTTGTTCAGCAATTCTTTCTGGGGCGTCCATACCTATTTTGTCTCAGGTTAGAAGCATTAACTCCTCTATTTTTTTGGTGCATAGAATTAACTCCTTTATGTTTAATATTTAACACATGTTAATCACTAATGCTCTATGTCTTTCTCAAGCCTTGTGCCTTTTTTTTTTTTGGCCAACTCAAGCCTTATGCTAAAGCTAGCTGTTCATAATGCAAAGCTCATACTCTCTCCTTGTTTCAAAAAGAAAAAGAAAAAAAGAGGAAATCATAAATTGCAAAATTTCTAAATTTAGGGGAAATGCAGTGTATTTAGTTGCATATGAAACAAGTTGAATTGTGCTAGTTATATTTTCCTTCAGGTTGATTTGCTTAGTCAATGTAGATTCTGAATTACTCCTTGAGGATTTTTATAAAGAATTGGACTGGATGGGACTCAAGCATGACCTGTTGAAAGAGTATAAAATAGAAAGATAGGCTGTTGGAAAAGGATTACCTTTTTTTGTATATTCTCCTAAATCACTAGTTGATGCTGGTTTCCATCCATCTGGTAAATCTTTTCAGAATTCACATTTGGCTATATTCCTTGGGTGCCTCAGGGTTTGAGACCATTTTCACTCCTATGCATAAGTATCAGATGTTAATTTGATCCTTAACCTCTGCAGACCTTTCTCGTGTGGCAAATTCTCCTGTCCATCATTTTTCTAGGGAGGAGATATAAAGTAAATCAACTTTTCGGATGTTTTCTTGTCACTGTCGGTGTAATCATAACTGTAGCAAGGTAACTTATAATGATCTTAAATTATAATCTCAAGATGAGACATTTAAGAACCTGTTGGCATCATTTTTAGGATGTAAACCTCAATGATTTTTCTTCGCTTTTTCTTTATTCACCAAAAAAACCCATAAAATTGTAGAGGATTATTTGGTCCATGGAGTGCGATGTTTTTTCAAAGAAAGATAGGGCTCCAAACTTCTTTGATGTTTGGGGTTTCAAAGGAAATACTAAAAGCATTTGTTTTTTGACCAAGGTTCATATTGAACAGTTTCAAAAGCAGTAGAACCAAAATGATTGAAATAGCTCCACTGCAATCAACTTATTGCTCCTCTGCTTTCATGGCCAGCTTAGCAGTACTTGGTCTCTGTTTATTGGAGTCAACTATAGCAATTTCATGCTGCAGTAGATTATATCTGTTACAGCATAGCTTGCCAGCTAAAATCCATTTGTTGCAAGACATGTTTTTGGGATTGTTGTTATGTATGCTATTCAATTTATCAATTCTTTTGGTTCTTCACTGCAGTGGTTCTGGTGCTGGTAATTCATTGACGGAAGCAGGCATATTTTGGAGCCTTCTGATGATAGTTTCTTTTCTGTTTCAAGCAGCTGACACAGTGCTAAAGGTTGTTGGCATCTAAATTTTTGTTCGGCCAAATGTTGGCATCTAACTGAAATGTATGAAATGTTATCTTTCTTAAATTTCACATGTCACATTTATCTAACTGGTACTGTTCTGATCATTTGTAGGAAATAATCTTTTTGGATGCTGCTCAGAAATTAAAGGTACAGAATTTACATTTATATGGTTATTTATCTCATGATGGAAAATTAAACCGAACATAATAATGATGATGAAAATGATAGTAATGAACATTTGAAAAAAGAAAAAGTAATAGTAATAGTAACTGGGAAATTCCTCCAAGTGTGCACAAGCTAAAGAACATCTTTTTGCTATTGTTGCAGGGTGGTTCAGTAGATCTATTTGTTGTAAATTCCTATGGATCTGCTTTTCAGGTAGTTCCCTTGTATTGAGTTAAAATGCTAGGAGTTTTCTCAATTTGGATTGGTGATTCGGCTTTCTAATATTCTTTTGCCACTATGGATCTGAGTTGAATGTTCTTTTGATTGTGTCCATGTCTGGTGCAGGCACTGTTCATTTGCTTACTTCTACCCTTCTTATCAAAATTGTGGGGCATTCCATTTAGCCAGCTCCCAAGCTATCTTAAAGATGGTGCAGCTTGTTTCTTGAACATTGGTGGAACTTTATCAAGTGGTAAGCCATGAACACCTGCTTTCCTACCATTATCTGTAAAGGTCAATACTGAATTTATAATAGAAGATAGACTGCCCATAGACACCTAGTTTAGTAGCTCTTTTAGGCTTCTCTTACCAACAGAGCCTGTAGAGGGTGTAAAATGCCAACTGCTTGTATAAGCAGTCAAAAATGGGCATAGACCATGAAATTGGCTGATATATTTTTAAAAAGGACCGTTTAGAATTTAATGCTTCAAATTTACTGAACATCACAATTCACAAAATATCATTGTACAAACCAGAAGAAGTAGCATGAAATAAGGAATAAGATATATCCAATGTGGATGAGAAAATTAGCATCAATGGGATAGAATAGATTTGAAGATGATAGAGAGGATTTTGTGGTATTCGAATTGAAATTTAAGCTCATGTTGGCAATAATGGCCTATTAAAAGTTGAGTAAGTTCCTTTGTAACCCAGGACAAAACCAACTGTCGGGAGATTGTGATACTGTTACTCATATATAAGAAAACAATTCGAAGTCATCTTATTATTCATAGCTCTGGCTTACCATCCTGATTATCCATTCTCCATTTCTCATAAGCCTTCTTCTGTAATGGGTTTTAAAGAGTTAAACTACTTCGAAATCTCTGGCAAACCACAGGTTGTGATGGTGCCCCTTTACTACCTATGCTCTTTGTTATTATCAACATGGGTTTTAACATCTCATTACTACATCTACTCAAGAAATCCTCTGCTGTGGTCTCTTCACTTGCATCCACTTTTTCAGGTATGTCTTTGTTGTCTTTGATTATTGTTTTCATCTTTTTCTTTCAAACATCCCATGGATTACAGATTCTCAATCCGAAGGAAAATTTTCCATCTGTTAAAACTGCTGATGCACTGAATATGATGTTTGTGACAAAGTTTGAATCTAAACTTACCTTGCCAACTCCATGTGGGGGTGCCATTTACCTTGCAATTAGACAGGCTTCTTTATTAGCTAAGAAATAAGTTTTGGTTAATATAGTTCTAAATGGTCATTTAATCATATGAAACTTGTTTCTTTTGAGTATTGTATTGCACGAAGTTATCCCCAAACTTATCTAAGTGTGCTGATCTTCTTGTGGTAACTTCATGGAGTCCTTTCACATTGTTAAGAGGGAATCCCACGTTGGAAAGTAAAGAGAGAACTTGTGTCCTTATATATACCATAGGCTTCTCCACCTGCTTTCAATTGGTTTTTCTTTCGGATGCTCATGTTGATTGGAACCAGGCTTGCCCGTTCATATTTGAAATCAAAGAGAGAACTTTTTGGTTGGATGCTTATATTGTAATGAGACCCACTTGTTTCTAACACACATAAGAATTTATGTTCATTCCATATCTTTTTTCTTTTTGGTTTGTATTTGACATATTTATCAAACTAAAACATTATCTCTGGATCTACTGTTTGTGATAGTGCCAATATCAGTGTATGTGTTTACACTGCCACTACCATACCTTGGAGTTGCATCTTCCCTTCCACCGGGATTTGTTGCAGGAGCAATCATTCTTGTTATGGGCTTACTCATCTATACTTGGACACCATCCGATTCCGCCAATTTCTTGCCATCATCCTCCAATTAGAATCTTTTAGTCATTGTCATGGCCAATTTCCATTCCTCCAACTTGAAAATGATTAAGAAAAATGATAAGCGCAAGCGCAAGCTGCACCCTTCAAGGATGGAGAATAAAGTAGAGGTGTGGAGGAATGTTATGTGTGGATCTGAAAATTTTCATTGCGGAGAAAATGCTTCTTGCCTGCAGGCATCATGATCCTCAGCATTCAAGGTTGAGGGACAGACAAAAGAATACTGTCAAAAGGAGAAAATGCAGTTGTTTGTTGCACATTAGCAATACATGTATGCTAGGCAAAAATAGGAAATGGAATTATTTCAAATAATAAAGAAGACAGTGCAGATTATTTTGGGAGAGATCCTACAATGGAGCTTATGAAGCAATCTTT